CTCTCTCTCTCCCCCTCTCCCTGTGTGTGTGTTTGTGTTTGTGTGTGTGTGTGTGTGTGTGTGTGTGTGTGAGAGAGTTCATGCACCCAGAGATATTGGGTCCTAGTGGAGCTGGAGCTACAATCAACTGTGAGCTACCCAACATGGGTGCTAGGAACCAACTTTGGTTTCTCCAAAAGGGCGACACATGTTATTAAATCGTGAGCCATATCTTTAGCCTCAGGGCTTGGCATTTTGCTTGGTGCATGGAATCAAGGAATATTTAAGACAATATTTGCAGGTCTGGTGGCATAGGACTGTCATCCCAGAACCCCAGCTCCTCTGAGGGCTGAAGCAGTAGAAAAGCGAGTTTAGGACCATTGCCTGGGCTGCCGCATTAGTTCAGGGCCAGCTTGGGAAACTCAGCAGGGTCCTGTCTCAAAATAAAAACTCGGATGAGGACTGGGGGTACAAGTTCAGTGTAAGGCCCTAGGCTCAGTCTCTCTCAAAATCTCAAAATGAATGCTATCATCTACGCCTCTGGTCCCTGCCATGTAAAAACAAAATATACTGAAACATTTATTGGAAAAGGACAATAAAAGCTTAAGTCTGTTGTAAGCTTGTATCTCCTAAAAATGGCAAAGAAGCTACACCCTTGATACCTCAACAACATGGCTGCCTAACCAAGACCTGAACAAAGATAACGCCAACAGATCTGCTAATATAGAAGGGGAAAATCTCACAGGGTTCCACCCCTAGATAAAGAACTGTTAGCGACTAAGAAATGGTTAGATTAGGAGAAATAGTCTTCCCCAGGGATGAGTGCATTAATTGGTTACCCATGAAATCACATACATTCAAGCAACACTGAAAGGACTCGTCTGGTAATACATACATATGTACATACGTACATACATACGTACACACATATATATGTGACAATAATAATTGGAGGCATGAATTTGGAAGGAAGCAAAGGGAGAATGGGAAGGGGAGAGATTGTAGGGAGGAGAAGGAAGGGAAAATAATATATTTATATTTAATTTTTTTAAAATGAGGAAAACAAAAGCTGCTCAGAGTAGTCTAAATTGTAAGGAAAACACGCATGGTATGTCGGTCACCTCCTTGTGTGACAGTCACTGGTTACTCCTCCATCTTCCTTATTCTGCTGTTCTTCCCTTCTCTCGCTCTCCCTTTACCTCTCTCTACCTCCGTCTTTCCTTTCTTTTTCACGCAATGCTGACATCAAACCAACAGCCTACAATATGCTAAGCAAATGTCCTCCCACTGAGTCACATCCACTGTCCCTAGATATTTTCTTATGTTTGTTATTTTGGTAAATGTTCACAGTTGTACAAACCACCTCAGAGTAGGTTTCTTGCTTGTGGTTTCATGCCCAAGAGTCAAAGCCCGCTGGTTTGGCTCTGAGATGACCAAGTCAGAACAGGACAGATGGAGGTCAACTGAAAAGCTCCAAATCAACAGCATTGGACATAGTAGCCTGTACCTGTGATCTCAGAGGAGGAGGCAGGAGGACTGGAAACTCAAAGCCATCCTCAACTACACAGAGAGTTCAAGGCCGCCTGGGCTACATAAGACCCTTTCTCTATGTATAAGCAAACAAACAACTCTCCCCCCAAAACATAACTGGGCAGTGGGGGTGTACACCTTTAATCCCAGCACTCGGGAAGCAGACGCAGGCAGATATCTATGAATCTGAGGCCAGCTTGGTCTACAGAGCTAGTTCCAGGACAGCCAAGGTTAAACAAAGAAACCCTGTCTCAGAAAACCCAAGAGCTGGAGTGATGGGTTCAGTGGCTAAGAGCACTCGCTATGAAAACAAAAGGGCTTGAATTCAAACCTCCAGCCCTCCCGTAGAAGCTGGGCATGCGACAAGTACCGTGGAAACAGGCAGATTCTGGAGCCTGCTGACCAGTCATCTTAACCAGAATGATGAGCTTCAGAGAGACACAATACTATCTTAGGAAAGGAAGGAAGAAGGAAGGAAGAGAGAGCAATAGAGGAAGAAACCTGACTTCTTTCTCTGGTCTGTCATGTCCAAGCACTTAAGACACATGCAATGTCAACCCCCAAATAAATAAACCATACACACACGAAACCAAAAACAAAACAAAAAGTATTAAAGTAAGGGAAATATGATACTTTTCATATTTCAAGGGAAATAAGATTGATTTGGTTTGGGGCATTATAAGAAAATGTCAACAATGCCCAATTTTACAAGGGTAGGGGCCACCAAGATGGTTCAGTGATGGAGATGTTTCCTGCTGAGTCTGATGCCCTGAGTTCTGATGCACTGGCTGACTCCTGGAAACTGTCCTCTGGCCTCCACATGTGCACACATACATGCAAGCTCACACACACATAACAAATCAGCAAATGTAACAAACTATTATTTTAAGAGCTGCAGAGGTAGCTTAGCAGTGATGAACACTTGTTACTCTTACAAAGGACTTGAGTTTGGCTCACAGGCCTCCAGGATGGGTGGCTCACAGTCGCCTACAACTCCAGTTCTGAAGAATCAGATACCTCTTTTGGCACTTGGGGGTACCTGCACTCACATACACTTACCCACACATAGACATACGTCTTAAGAACTGGGATTAGTGTGCAATGGATAAATAAAAAATAAATTTAATTATAAAAACTAAGTCTTGAATACTTTTGAAAAGGTCCTGTGATTCCTGCCCTACCAGCACCACTACCAACCATAGCATTCTCCAGGAGAAGTCTAATATGACAACAAATGGATTGCATGGGAACTTCGGAGGATGAGAAAGATTGTTAATTACTATGTTGTATACTAAGACAATAATAGATCCTTTTGTGTTATACTTCATTGATCATAAGTCGTGTCAGGAAGGGTAAAGGATGATGGCAGCAGTTGCAGTTCATAGGAAAGGAAGCTGAAGAGTCAGTCACACCAAAATATCAGATCCGTCTTTCTTTAAAAAAACAAAAAACCCTCTGGACTGGAGATGACTCAGTTAAGAGCACTGACTGCTCTCCCGGAAGACCAAGTTTGAGTCTCAGCTCCCCATGGTAGTTCACAACTATGACTGGAGTACCAGGGGATCAGATGCCCTCATTTGGCCTCTGAACACACTATACACGTGTTGTACACAGACATACTTACAGGCAAAATACCCCTCACATACAGTTTAAAGTAATTTAAATTAACTTTAGTCTGATGTGGAAGCTCATTGCAATCCCGGGATTCTTGAGGCTTAAGAGTTTGGGAAGATTATCATGGGTTTGAGGCTAGTCTAATCTACAGAGTGAGACCTTTTCAAAAAAGAAAGAGGAGGAGGAAGAAAAAGGAGGGGGAGAAGAGGGAGAGAGAGAAGAAGAAGAAGAAGAAGAAGAAGAAGAAGAAGAAGAAGAGGAAGAGGAAGAGGAAGAGGAAGAGGAAGAGGAAGAAGAAGAAGAGGAAGAAGAGGAAGAAGAAGAAGAAGAAGAAGAAGAAGAAGAAGAAGAAGA